TAAGTCATTTTTGTTTTTGTATTCATTCAATACTTATGAATGATTTCTTTAGGTTTTTCTCACGACATCTTACGTATGACAATCATTGATGAGGTGTTTGGGTTGTTGATGTTTGTGTCCATCGTGATCTCGATTGCTTAGTTGCATAGATCTTGTGGTTTGGCTTAGGTCTTGTGTTCTGAACGTCGTAACTTATTCATACGATATCATAGTTTAACGATCTTTATATCCACATGTTCGTTTTTTGAGTCTACTATAACTTTCGTTAAGATTACTCCCGTTAAAATGTAATATATTTTTACTAACGATTTTATAAAAAATAAAAAAAAACATTCATACATGTATTCATAAAAAACGTATAGATATAAAGATCGTAAATAAAAATATATTACTTTTTAACGGGAGTAATCTAAACCAAAGTTGTAGTAGACTGGAATACGAATGCATGAATATAAAGATCGTTAAAATCCGAAATCGTATGAAGAAGTTATGACGTTCAAAACACATGACCTAAGCAACCAAATAGTCGAGATCGCGATGGACATAAGCATCAACAACCCCAAACACCTTATAATGATTGTCTCAAGATGTCGTGAGAAAAACCTAAAGAAATAATTCGTAAATATTAAATGACTACAAAAACAAAAATGACTTATTTTGCAACAAAAAAATATTAAGGACTAAATGTGTACAAAAATATTAAGGACTAAATGTGTACAAAGTGAGAAATATATTACCCTATTAAGTCATTTTTACCGGCTAACCTAGAGTAGCCGGTCATAAAGACTGAATGTGTACAGTTTAACAAGTTGAAGAGGTAAATGTGGACGAAAAAAAAAAACTCAGTGGTCAAATGTATACAAATCAAATAATATATTACCCTTTTAAGTCATTATCTCAATAAAAACTTTATACACACTACACCCCACCCTACTCCACACCCACACCCACACCCACACCGACACCCGTCACATTCTCAAGTCTACCACACCCCAAATCTATACATTTAAAATTACATCAAAAGTTAAATGTAAAAGAGTAAGCACTAAGCACCATTTATGTAAATAAATGTTTACAAGTACATGGGGAGCATTTATTCACTTTTTACATTCCCTAGTAATACCACGAACCATTTCTATATTTTTGTTCATTTCATGCAAAATGTAAGGGCATAGAGCCCATTTATGTAATTTTACTATTACACAATAATTTTCTATAATTCTACAAATTAATAAAATATGGAGCATATATATAATTACTGAATTAGAAAACTATAATTTAACGTGTCCTTAAAATATGTTAATTATTGTACTATTTGTAATATCAAATTAAAAAAATAAAAATTCATATATAATACATATCCAACACATTTTTTTAATTTTCTAAAATGAAACATAAAAAACACAATCAATTTTAACCAAACAAATTTTCTAAAAACTTAAAACAATTTCCCACGCTTTAAGTTTTAAAAACTCCGTAAGACTTTTTGGATTAGCTTTTAGATTATGAGTTCTTTGAAAAAATTTAAGTTTGAACTTCATTTTTTTTATTTGAACTTTTTTTTTCCAAAGCTAAAACTATAAATTACTATAAGCTCTCAAAAAAACATTGTAAACGCACTCATATACACCTAATTTTTTGGAAAGCACATGACCAATCTTTGTAATATACTTTGATTTAATTTGATAGGCGTTTGAGGTTTTTACATGTGATTGTTTATATGTTGTCCGATGTCAAATTAGAAGTAATATTTTGGACTATTTGATAGCATCTAAATGACCTCTAAACATTTAATGGACCCTATCTTCAATCAATGAAGTTTCAACCATTACAAGTTGTAATTATATACCACTAAAAAGTTCATTTTAAGAAACAACCGCCTGCATAGAATTCGATATATCTTTGATTATTAATCTGATGTATTTGATATATTTGATATATTTGATTATTAATATGATGTATTTGATATATTTGATATTCTGATCTCCCTATTCTAATAAAAGAATAAGTTTAATCTTTTATTGACAAGTGTTAATTAGAACTTTTCATTTTAATGTTATATATCACTTATCATTTCACTTGTCAACCTATTAATTATCCATTTCAAATTTCAAATTTCAAATTTCAAATTTCTACTCTAATTATATTAAATTAATAATGGGTAAATAGCACAAAAAAACTCTACGTTTACACGAAAATTCTAATTTGACACTGTGTTATTTTTTGTCTCAAATTTGACGCTGTGTTTTCTAATTTATTACAATTCTGACCACTTGACCGTCCAACCCGGTTACTTGCTGACGTGGCATGATGACATGTCAGTTTTGATGACGTGAGATGCTGACATGACATGCTGACGTATCAAAATTGATTTTTTTTCCACAAAAGACACTAAGTTTTCATTTTTTTTTTCGATTTTGACATTAAGTTTATTTTTTTTTTAATTTTGACACTCTATTTTTTTGTTCCAAATCGAAAATCATTTTTTCCAATTTTTTCAATGCCGATCATTTTTTATTTGAAACCTTATAATTATTTAATCGTAAATAAAAATATGTGTAAAATCTACAACAAAAAATAAAGTAAATAATATTTCATAAGTGATAATTGATAAAATTTTGTTATTCTCATTCGAAGTTTGTGGTTAGTTCGACTCTCAATATATAACTAAAAATATTTATAAAACATATGCTTTGAATGTAAAAAATATGGTTTTCAAATGAAAAAATATATATATTTATATGGTTTAAAATGTAATAAAAAAATATTTATACGGTTTCAAATGGAAAATGGTTAAAATTGAACAAAATTGAAAAGAAATAATGTTCGATTTGAAAAAAAAAATAAAGTGTCAAAATTGAAAAAAAATAAACTTAGTGTCAAAATCGAAAAAAATTAAAAACCAAGTGTCTTTTGTGGGAAAAAAAATTCAATTTTGACACGTCAGCATGTCATGTCAGCATGTCACGTCATCAAAACTGACAAGTCATCATGCCACGTCAGCAAGTATCCGGGTTGACCGGTCAAATGGTCAGAATTGTAACAAATTAGAAAACACAGTGTCAAATTTGAGACAAAAAATAACACAGTGTCAAATTAGAATTTTCGTGTAAACGTAGTGTCTTTTGTGCTATTTACCCATTAATAATTGATTATCCATTTTAAATTTTAAATTTTAAATTTTCACATTCTAATTACATTACATTAAATTAATAATTGATTCTTCATTTTAAATTTCAAAATTTAAATTTTCTCACTCTAATTATATTAAATTAATAACATAAGATTGAAAAATAAAATAAAATTAATACATATTATAAGATGATATTACTTCACGTATTTATTTAAATCAACGATTATAATTTTATATAACTAAAAAATATCTCTTAAGTAATAATTTATTTAAAATAATTAATTAATAATTTTGATTTTTTGATATGAAAGTTTAATTAATTTTATAACCGTGGTTCTCACGAGTTATAAACTAGTTAATAATATAAAACACAAGAGAGTTGTATATGGAAAATACACTTGGAGTAAAATCATAAGAAAACAAAAGGGGCAATTACTAATCTACCTTAATTAAATAAATAATTAACCATTTTTAGCCAAAAATCAGAATTATCCCAAAATAGCCCACGAAACCGCAGATAATTAGAGTGGGCTACTATTTCGCCAAATGGGCTACTGTGTCGTGATAAGTATTAAAAAAATTCATTTTGAACTTGTAAAACCGTAGGTTTTTTGGAAGCCTACGGTTTCCTCTCAAGAACCTACGGTTTCGTTAATTTTTTTTTAAAGTTTTTTGAAAAAAAAAATGATAAAATCATAACATATATATGATGGCTTAAGAGGTTACAACAAATTTAAAATAAAAGAACGAAAAAAATAAAATAAAACTGTAGGCTTCATACGAAACCTACGGTGTACAAGTCCACACTGCACAATCTATGCATTGTGCACTTGTACACTGTAGGTTTTGTATGAAACCTACGGTTTTAATATATATATATATATATATATATATATATATATATATATATATATATCGTTATTTAAAGAAAAAAGGTTATCCTCATATACAAAAACTACTCCTAATCAATAATACGGTAAAATTTTGATAAAAAATGGGCGTACCTTGTTCTGATTCGGGTGCTCCATTGAGAGAAAAAAATAGGTAAACAAACAAAACAATAGTCAAAATAACCTAATCTGAAAAATTATACATTATATACTATGGGTCAATGGGCCGCGAAAGAGTAGACGGGCCGGAAAACAATAGCCCATTGTCACAAAAGAATAGTTTCCTACCGTTGACCGTAGTCAACTTGTATTGACCGTAGTCAACTCTGGCCAATCTATTATTTCGTGGGCTACTTTCGACTAATATGTTTTTTTTGGCTATTTTTAGATAGGTAATTAGTGTTTTAGGCTAGATTAGTAATTTCCCAAAAACAAAATACAATTGTCTGTTTTTCTAAAAATAATAATTATGTTAAATGTAAGTTATAACAAATTTTGTTGTTTTAAACAAATCTTGAAGTTTGTATAAATTAAAGATGGAATTTTCTAATATGTGCTTTAAGGGCACATATAAGAAACATTAATACCATGTGGTGCCCTCCCTCCTTGAGGTTGAGGGTTCAAGTCCCGTGGTGGACATAAGTGGAATTAGGTGTTAGTTTAGGAGTAGATTATAAAATTTGTATTTGTCGGTTAAAAAAACATTAATTAAAGTATTAATTATAATAAATATTACCATAATTAAATGTGATGAATTAACGCATAAAAAAGTTATAATTAACGCATATGGGAGACGCCTGGACGGAAGTACACCGGAGACAGTCGCAATCAAAGATAACTAGGAGATCCGGTGATCATGGCAGAAAGCGGCTAGAAAAATCAACTACTATGTTCGTCTCCAACTTTCCCGATGGTGCTCATAAGGAGATTATTAAGAAGATTTTTTTTCAAAATATGGAGATATCTCGGATGTCTATATGGCCACAAAAAAAGATATACACAGAAAAAACTTTGCATTTGTTAGATTTAAAGGAGTTGATGACGAGATGAGACTAGAGAACTCCCTTCAAGGCCTAAAATGTATGGGGTCATCGTTGGAGGTAAACGTGGCCATATTTGAAAGGAGAGAAGTGACAAGGACAAAACGGAACATAACTGAAAACAGTTTAAATCCTCCACGAAAGCCTACAGACGCATTCTGTGATGGCAGGTCCTTTGCAGCGGTGACATCAGGGGTCTTTCAAGGCCTGGTTCCTCCCCCTCCTCCTTCGACGTTAACAAACAAACCTATTCGCCTAGAGGGAGACTCATTTTGGGCGCATTGGGTTCTTAGTCCTTTAACTCTAATCGGGGTTGCCCGTAGTTTGGAGCATTTAAGGAACTTAGCTGTGAAGTACAGACTGGGTCAAGAATTTGCATATGGAATGAAGTACATGGGAGGACTTTCGGTTGGTATTAGATTCAGAAACTCGGCTGTCGTAAAACAGTTTCTTCTAAAAAAGGAGCAATGGGGGAAATGGTTTAGTGAATTCAAGGTTGGAAGCTCTTACGATGGGAATGTAGAAAGGATCGCATGGCTGAAAGTAGTAGGTCTCCCTCTTCATATGTGGAGTGAGGAAAACTTTTCTCGGATTGCAAGATGGGTGGGCCAGCCTATTGGACCCTTGGAGATTCCATTGAGCATGCAGGACGTTTCACATGGTAAGATTTGCGTTCTAACAAGCAGGAAGACCAAAATTAACGATGAAGTGTTGGTGAAATTAAAAGGGAATGTCCAAAAAATGGGGCTTGTTGAGGAAAATTTCGATTGGCCTCCATTCCCTGTTGGGTTGTGGATCAGTGAGGAGCCTTGCAGATATGAAGACGATGGTTCGGCGTTTATTGATGATGATGGCGATAACAGGGCAGGAGGTGAAAATCTGGAAGATGAGAATATGAATAAAGGATTAGATGATGAAGAGCTGGAAGAAGGGGAACTCCGGTACGATGAGGATATCCGGATCGCAAGGGTGATGTCCACGAAACCGTTGGTGGCAGAGGACGAGCCATTGCCGGAAACCAGGACCCAGATCGACGGAACACAGGGACTGGAAGATGTTTCGACGGAGGTGGTTCCAAGGAATGGGGAAGATCAATCGTTTACTAATATTAATTGTCAACGGGAGGGAATATCTTTTATATTTAATGCAGAGTCGTCAAAGGAAAAGACTCCTGTGGCTCCTTAGGAGGTGCACAGTGGGAAAAAATTTGACTTGGTCAAAGACAGTTGTTTTGGGACGTATCCAACTGGGCTGATCAATAGTGGGGGAAGAAAACTTCCTAACTCATTTGGGCTTGGGCTTGTTCAGAACTATAATAAGGAGCAAAATTTGTACGCTGATCTATTATCTGTTGAATCACTCACAAAGAAGAGGCGATATTTGATGTGTATTTTTAATGCACTAGTTTTTTATTTATAATTCCTATTTTATCGCATTTAAACCACACCTTACAGGCAGTGAACCCGGTCGAGTATAGTATAGCTTTGATAAGCAAGGGTGTCGAACTCAAGGGGAACGGTAGTGAATTAATATTAGAATTTTTGATTATAGGTTATATAAAAAGGCACAAAAGTAATAAGAAAAGTTTTATTAAATTAAATCTCAACCAAACAATTAAATAATAAATCTCGATAAACTGACAGAAGACAAATCTCTTTAGGTACCTTGGTTTAGACAGATTACATCTTAAAATCATAGATAATTGCACACACATATTTGTTTATTCATGTTCACCAATTTCTAAAATGATTAGATTCATATTCACTATTACTAATTCTTTAGCAAACAAGTCAATTCAAGTAGTGATCAATTGATTAAACTAACATGTTTCCTAGTGTTCAGTTCGTATCAAGCAAGATTTGTAATAATAGTTAATTAAATTTGTCAATTCAATCAACTTATATGTGATTGGTCGTCACATATACTCACACATTAATTTACTTATTTTCTAGTTAACCCTAGTTTCATGTTCACTATTCATATGCATATAATCTTGATGGTCATCAAAATCATAAGAGGCAAACAATCAAGCAGATGTTCATACAACTCGATATACTTAATAATTAACAGAAAATAATTGTCATTAACACATAAGGATCTTTTAACAAGCTTAACAAGATAAATTAAACATGAATAAATAATCAAATATAGCAATTAATCCAATAATCAAGGTTTTCATCTAATCATAAACTCAAAGCAAATGGTTTTAACACCAAAATCAGAAAGTAAAAACATAATAGTATCATAGTGGAATGCTAAACATGGTCACGATAATAAACCACATGATTACCGACACGAATCCGCTCTCTAATCCTTCAGATCTTTGCTCCATATCAACTTAACGGCCTTCCGGCCTCCTTCTAGACCCTCAAAACGGCAGTTATGAAGTTTTCTTGTCGCATAAGTCGAAGCGGAATATCATAGATAATGAAAATGGATGAATGATATGGGGTATTTATAGTTGAATGGAGATGGAATTAATATGGAATATTAGAGTTGGATAGTAATAAAGAAAACTAATGTTGGCTTATGGATTAAGCAAATAAAAATAAGGTAAGTGGTGCTTGGGGAATAAGTAACTTGGAGGGTATTTTCGTCCATCTTTTATGTTTCATCTTCAAGGCCGATTTTGGATACGATAAATGCCGAATTAGCAAAAAGGCCCTATCACATAAGTCGTAGGAAATTTCGTCTAGTTTTCAGAACATTTTGAATCTCGTCAATTGGACTTACGAGTCATCAGATATACCCGAAACACTGAAGATGGGTCAATCTGCCATCAATATCCTTTTTGCATCTTTTCAGCTCCATTCTCTTTCTTTTGCATTCCAGCTCCCATTTTAACTGTAATTGAATATTTCAAAACATATTAAGTATCTTTTAGTTCTAAATAACTTAAAAACATAGTATAAAATAATAATAAAACATCATAAATATATGCATAAAATAGACATTATCAAACTACCCCACACTAGCCTTTTGCTTGCCCTCAAGCAAAACTGATTTTATTATCTCACCAATATCGCATAGAATAATCCATTTCAAACCCAGCCATTATCCCAAGACCGCAATTCATGTATTTCTGTCTACAATTCCTAAGAACTTCCCACTCCTAAATATTCATAATCTTTATGAACCTTCACCCCTTAGCTTATACGACATTCATTTTTGCAATCCTCCGAATCAATCCTCAGAAATCTTTCTTAACCTCAAGGTATTTTTGTAAAGCTACCCAAGCATACATAATCTAGAAATTACAACTTCTGATACCACAATGGAGCTCTTTTGAATTCTTCACTTCTTTGAATTGGTCTTTGATTTCTTTGAATTCACCACCTTTTTGTTTGATTTTTTTGGTATCTTCATTTTTTGATTCTTCAGAATTTTGATCTTTTGATCTTCATACTTTGAAAACTCCAAAAATTCTAACAACTTTTTGGTAATTTCTCTCTCTTTGTTTTTTTAATATCTCACTTTTTTCGCTCATATCCTACATGCTTAAGCAAGAAGCTTAACTTCAACATTTATTAGTTATGGTATTAGTCTAAGTGCAATGACTACATAAGCTCCCCTAGATAGATTTCTGGTTTAGGATGGAAAACGTATTATGTCATATAAACTACCAGATTACCTTTCATATCTCATGACTTTTCACTAAGAAATGGGAAGCCACAAATACACTATAACATGTGTTGGCTCAAGTAAACATTTGGGTTCTCATTGGATCATCCCATACAATATTAGCAAAAAAAAATTAATTATCACTAGATTTTACTAAATTAAACTATTCTTTCAAGTTTATAAATTTTTAAATTTTAAATTTTCCTAATCTAGCAATTTTAAATTTTCCAATTTAAATTCCTTTTTCGACCCCCTACCCCACACTTATTTCATATAAAGACCTCACTGTATGCATAAAACTAATTAAGCACATAAAAATAGTAAAAAAAAAAAAGGAACAGACTCCCCTGAGGTAGTAGTGGCGAGATCGACTGGGGCTGCTAAAAGTTGCTCCATAAATGTGCTGGAAGATAGAAAATTGGAACTGATGCTTCTAAATGTGCCAGAAAATAAAATCAAGAACACCGACTTCTGAAATGTGGTGCAAAGAATTGCAAACTAATGCAATGTGTAGTAACCATGACGTGGGAAAGTGTCGACCACGTCGTGTCGTCGAGTGAGGTGAAATCTATATTACGAATAATAGCATGGCCACGACGTGGTAATTGATGGTCACGTCGTGATATCGAGAATGACACCCTCCTCTCACGATGAAAAACTCCCCCCACGACATAGGAAAGTGTCAACCATGTCGTGGCAGCCGGAATGGTACTTCTACCTCGCATCGAAATAAAACTCTATGGTGTGGGAACAGCTCATCCATACCATAGGAATCAAAATATGGTAGAAACGCCACTCTTCTAAATAATATACTCTCACAATATCGACTTGCACCCCACACTTATGAAAAATCGTGGGTCTTGACTATAAACTTCAAACTCTCACACGACTCTGTCTCTAGTGATAAGACAACAGTCGGACCTAGCTGCTAAACTTACTGCCAGCTTTCTAAGGGTGAAAAATATGCAAAGATCTAAAACAATCAAAAGAGCATCAACATGGAAAACAAAAATACATAAACCAAAAATAAAACATCCTAAAATAACTAAAAAAATAGCAAACCAAAATAACTAAAAAGGATATCACGATCACTCGTCTTCGTCGAAATCAAGCTACAATTGTTGATTAAATCTCTTGCATGCAAGAGGTGGTTTGTGAAAACAAAAACTTTCGGGACCTGTCAGACTATTTCCTTTGTTTTCTTTGCACCATTAACTAATAAGTAGAACAAGAGTTGACCCAACTAGTCAAGAGTAGCAAGATTTCGGTCTTCCACTTAACCACCTCGATACGCCTTGCTATAATACGCCTCGTGGATTGAGTTGGACAAATCACCAAAGTAGTAGACTAAACAAGTCAAGAATTCCCTAATCGCTTGCAATCTCGAAATCCATGCAAAAAGTAAAAACCAAGCAATGCGTATGATCACAAATTCCTGCAAATAACAACAAAAACCTTCCCGACAAGTGACATGATATCAACGAAAATAAAAAAGAAATAAAATAAAACTAAAAGTTAAAAACAAATAACGAATAATTAAATAAACTAAATTAATTGAAGACCGTTCCCCGACAACGGCGCCAAAAACTTGATGTGTATTTTTAATGCACTAGTTTTTTATTTATAATTCCTATTTTATCGCATTTAAACCACACCTTACAGGCAGTGAACCCGATCGAGTATAGTATAGCTTTGATAAGCAAGGGTGTCGAACTCAAGGGGAACGGTAGTGAATTAATATTAGAATGTTTGATTATAGGTTATATAAAAAGGCACAAAAGTAATAAGAAAAGTTTGATTAAATTAAATCTCAACCAAACAATTAAATAGTAAATCTCGATAAACTGACAGAAGACAAATCTCTTTAGGTACCTTGGTTTAGACAGATTAAATCTTAAAATAATAGATAATTGCACAAACAGATTTGTTTATTCATGTTCACCGATTTCTAAAATGATTAGATTCATGTTCACTATTACTAATCCTTTAGCAAACAAGTCAATTCAAGCAGTGATCAATTGATTAAACTAACATGTTTCCTAGTGTTCAGTTCATATCAAACAAGACTTGTAATAATAGTTAATTAAATTTGTCAATTCAATCAACTTATATGTGATTGGTCGTCACATATACTCACACATTAATTTACTTATTTCCTAGTTAACCCTAGTTTCATGTTCACTATTCCTAGGCATATAATCTTGATGGTCATCAAAATCATAAGAGGCAAACAATCAAGCAGATGTTCATACAACTCGATATACTTAATAATTAACAGAAAATAATTGTCATTAACACATAAGGATATTTTAACAAGCTTAACAAGATAAATTAAACATGAATAAATAATCAAATATAGCAATTAATCCAATAATCAAGGTTTCATCTAATCATAAACTCAAAGCAAATGGTTTTAACACCAAAATCAGAAAGTAAAAACATAATAGTATCACAGTGGAATGCTAAACATGGTCACGATAATAAACCACATGATTACCGACACGAATCCGCTCTCTAATCCTTCAGATCTTTGCTCCATATCAACTTAACGGCCTTCCGGTCTC